CAGGGAGGGCAGCAGCGATATCTCCGGCGCCGTTCTCTTGCTCCGCTGCATGCGCCTCCTCGATCTCCTCGACGAGAATCTCGAGGTTGACGACATCATGGTCCTGTCCCACTTCCACTTCTTCCAGCTCGACCTCCATTTCCACGTCAGGGATATCCAGCATATCGATAGCTGCATCAATCAAACCACCTACCAAGCCAACGTTTCGAGCGGCTGCGTTGGCGCCGTCGTTATTTCTACCACGGCGGCGGCGGTTGCCGTTCGGTCTGTTGTTCGCCTGAGGTGCGGGCTCAGGTAATCCAGCAATTGTACGCTCCCATCTCTTTTCGTACGGGCACACGAACTCGTGCCAGAGGTTATTGTATACAGCTCTAATGTACGGAAAGCACGCTGCCGCGAGTTGAGGTGACGGAGGCCAGGTGAAGAAGCGGTCGTCTTTGGCCATGTGGAATACGCCGTACTAGATGATATCAGCCAGGTCTGCCAGGAGTGAGTGTGGAAAACGGGTCCTTACCAGCGCGGCGACGGGCATGAAGAAGACATTGCCTAGAATAGGGACCGACGAGCCCAGGACCAGGGCAGGCGCGATGGTCGGCAGGATCGCGACGTGGATCCAGTTGACCATGGGCACGCCTCTGGGGTTCCTGTCGTTGAAGAAGAAGCGATACGTCGCCTCGGGGCCCGCAAACACCCGCACCGCAATGTTGCCGTACATGGCCAAGCTAACCCATGTGCCCGCGCCGATCCCGCCGAGGATCAGGCCGGGCGACACCCTGCTAAAGGACTTGTAGATCTGGTTGCTGAGCGCGAGCGCCGGGTCGTAGGGTTCGTCAATGTTGATCTTGGCCTTGCACACCGGGCAGAGTATCTCCTTGCCCTCGCGCTCCAGCTCTGTGACCCACTGGATCATGCAGTCTTGGTGGCCTTCGAGGGTGCAGGGGCACGGGTCGACCCAGGCGGACTCGGAGGCGCCGGACTCGTTCTCGTCCATGAGGCAGATGAAGCAGCGGCGTTCGCCATCTGGAGGCCCGGCCTGAAGTGAAGGTATTGTGTCGGTCATGCTGGGTGACTGGCGCAAGGGTTTTCAGGTGTAGGTGATCGGTTCGTTGAGGTTCGGGGGTGGGAGGTGCGGAGAAGGGTGAGGGCATATCGTGTGCGGGAGCTTTTGAGCCCACGGCGCAACAAGGTTCGCAAAGGGGCGTGCGCTTCTATCGCATGATAAATAGTGCAACGAAAGTCTATGTTTTGGTATTGCGGAAATATAGAAAAACGATGCTGAAAATGTGTGATATCGTGAGGTGATTGTGAACAGCCTGATTATTCGCTTGGAGCTGGTCAAGCTTGAATGAATGTGACATCAACCGCCCCAAATGTCCGACCAACCGCGAGTGGTAGTCCACAGTGAGCCGAGGCGCAGGGTGGGGCCCTCGTGAGTTGTCCTGTGGCTTGTTTAGATACGTACCTTTAGCTTCAAGTCATTGCTGTGGCTGTGCAACTGGGTAGATGTCTCCATTACTTGGCGGGACGATTCAAGATTTATTGAAGCAATTTTTCATTGTATAAGTCACCGGTATAGAGACCTAAACTATCATTGGATTAAATCAGTTCGGAGAAAATTGAGCGTCTAAAACACGTCTTGATGGCTTGGTAACGTGAATTGCTGTGATTTTTAGCTTCGAGATATTCCGTTCTCATCTTAAGAATTCAACCAAGACTCGTCGAACAACATTATTACCTTGCTCCGCATCCCTGTGTATTATCAGCTCACTAGCATCCTTCCAGCCGTTTTGCCAAACTTCTCTTCATTTACTTCTTCTTCGTGATCTTGGAAATCAAGCTTAGCAGAAATCAATCCACATTCACCTGGGCCTCTGTCCATGGGCCAGACTCACCATGCGAATATTCGCGCCCTATTCCAAGGTCCAGGCAACGATCTTATGTAAACCTTAACCATGCCACTCCGGGGCCTGATTTCTGAAGGATAATAAGCTGCTCTTGATTGCCCCTAGACAACGGAAATAATGACTTAGGGGCTTTCCATCGCCATCGGTGATGAACGAGAGTCTTGCTAGATAACTATTTGCGATCCGGTCGTCAGATTTTACCTCGAGTGGTAATTTCATCCCCTCATCGTTCCCGGAGAAGAATTTTCTAGTTTTGAAAGCGTTCAGCGATGGGACTAGAAGAGCCCAATGTTGTCTTGGCCCAGCAGTATATAAGATTGATACGACGTACATTCATCCGTTTTCTTACGTAAATTCGACTTAAGGTGAGTTGGAGTGAAGAACTCACCTGATGAAGTCTCGGTGTTCTCTAGTAAGATTGCCCGGTACCCTCTGCATATGGTCGGTCATTGAACATCAATGGCGCGGCGAGACGGGATTCGTGTCCAACTTGGTCGGACAACGGACAAAGATGAGACCGTGCCTACAACTTGCACTCCATGGCCTGATGATCCCAAAGGTATTATGTGTGTTTGCGGAACGTCAAGTATGTCAGCGAGTTTAATAGTATTTCGCTCTAAGCTTTTTACTCTCCAGGCAGCAAGCCCCTTCTCTGGAATGCGATAGTGATACAGCCCTCAATATTTTACCGAAGCTAGCTCATAGTAGGGTTGATAGGGTGACAAAGCGAGAGTATTCATACGCAGATCCAGCGCGAAGTGTTAAGCGAAGGTATGGGTAGTCGACGGAACTGTTGATGAGACAATGCTTCGTGACATGTTAAAACGATCCTACGATGTCATCCGGTTCACGAGCCTTGACACCATTCCACAACGTCAGAAACACAGCCATCCCGCGAATGAAGCAGATGTAAAATTGATGGCAAAAACGTTCTTCAACATTTATCCGGTAAACACGAGAAGTTTCCGCCGAAATTCGTTGGACCACAAGCACGTCAACCAGTCACTTTGACGCGGCATAGCCATCTTTTCATGTTCCCACGCTGCAATAGATCCTTTAGAGAAGTAGATAGAAAGTGTGCTTGACATCGTTCGACGCCAACGGACTGTTCAAATACATCGCTCGCTTCGCCGAGCGTGAGATTGCATCAATACAAAAAGTATGCATACACTACAGACGAAAGTGAAGAACTCTGTGAGCATGAGTTGGCCTTGGAGAGTCATAGCTGGGGAAGGAGCAGGACTGTAAAGTCAGTTCGCGATGTGGGGTGACTGTTTCTGGCCTCGAGTAAGCTATATCGCGTAAATATGTAGGCTTTGCGATTCCCTTCCGATTTGCATCGCTTTAGATCGATGATTGAATTCACCACACTTCTATCAGCCAGATTACCTTGATTCACCGAACTTTTCTTGAGTGGCCTAAGTTGTTGCGGGGGAATGGGACCGACCGCAACGCTGATGTGCCATCCTTGCTCTGGTGCCTCGAACAATCGCACACACGCAAGCTCACGTTTACACGTAGGTTGGCTGCGAATGCGGGCTATGTCGATGATTACGAATCCAAGACCTGTTCTGATCTGCATAGCGTAATTCCCGGAGATCCAGCTCGCGGAGCCAAAGCAGTGACTGTCCCGAAGGTCGTATCTCGCAACGTCGGTTGAAGACCTGATATTGTTCAAATGGCCATCCCGTCGGTCACAGCCGCTTCGCCGTGTCTTCGGCGAAGGACGGGAGAAGATCAAAAAGCCATCCGCGCGCACCGAATGCGATCATGATATATGCTGCGCCAACCCCTTGATTTTCAACGTCACGCAGGGCAGTGCTTCTGCCTTCCCCGAACGTAGATCTGCCGTGCTTGCAAAATTCCCGGCGGCTTCCCGGCGGGATACGACGCTCACCGTTCACGGACTGTGGGCGATCGGGCTCCGAAATGAACCTGCAGATGTCATTTGCTTGGCCGACTTAGCGCCGCGATAGTGCCAAGGGCCGCATACTCCCCTGTCCGTCCGCAGCCCTGCCTAACGGGAGCGCGGGAACGCGAACTCGCAGGCAGTGACGGACTTGGTTGAAAAGACTGGGCGCGCGGATCCGGATGCAGGTACGCAAAGACTTGTTCTCTGGCCTGTGATTGTGATGTAAATGGGATCCAGTGAGCTTAAAGCATGTTTCGTCTGAAGAGCACAGCCTGAGGGGGCCGCAGCAATCACAGTCCTGGACTCGAATGTTTGGGTTGGTACGGGTTGCCACCATGGTTGTTATTCTCCGCGGGACATCAAGGATTATGTCTGGATCGAGGGGCCTCCGGTGGTGTTGTCGCCAACAAGATGACTGGGGAAAGTGTATGGGTTATTCAGCAAAACACCTTCCTCTCCAGTCTCAGCCCCCTTAAAACGCACAGATGGGAAAAATACTGTGTGGGAAAGTTTCGACGTGAGCCACTGAGGTTTGAGACTCTACCGTTGGTCATCCCGTCTCACCATTTTAGCCCACATCGAACAGAGAGAAGAGAACCCTGGCCGGGACGTCCCATTGGTGCTTCAGCCCAACTTGACAAGCCGCACGGCTTTTAATAGCATGAACGGCCTCCCGGCACGGCACATCGGATGGTGGGCGCTGCCCCGAGCGACCAGCTGCAGGTGTCAGGGAAGAAGAAATGGTACAGCCACCCATGCACACGCGTCCCCTTCGATAGATTTCACCCACTAATGAACCCCACCATGGCAACTCCACTGCCGGGAAGCCGAGTGGCAGGTGTTTGCCGTTGCCAGATGCTCAAACGTACGTCAGCCTCCTTGAAGATGGGGTGGAAGTGAGGTGGTTGGCTCCAGCTTGTCCAGCTGGAACTCGCATGATGGGTTCTCCTAGTAAAGCCCAAACACCAGGTATCCATGTATCCTGTTGATTCTGCCCTTCTTTAATGGAGACGCTGACCCGCCATCGAAATAAGGGGGCGGGTTTGGTTTCCATGGTTCTTCACTGAAAGCCTCAGCCATTTCTCTCGTTCTATCTCTTCTCTTTTAGATCTTCTTTTCCTTCCAATATACTATCGTTGAATTGAATTTTAGAGGGTTCTTCCTTCGCCGTAAAATTACTCACAATGGCGTTGTCTTTCGTTCGTCAAGCGTCGCTCGTTGCGCTTCTCGCTTCTACAACTTTCGCTCAAACTTTTACCGATTGCGACCCTACTAAGAGTAAGTTTGACTTTGAATCCACGTTCATTTGAGGATGTTCCCGACACGTCCTCCACATCACGGTACTCTGAGCGTTGGTGGATGAATTGTTTTGCTGACACGAGGTCACTTAGAAACTTGCCCCGCCAACAAAGGTCTGTCAAAGAGCACCTATGAGGTCGACTTCACCAAGGGCGCCGACAACGATGCCTGGACTGTCACCGCCGGCAACATCACCTACGGCACCGATGGCGCCGAGTTCACCCTGAACAAGAAGGGCGATGCCCCCACCATCGAGACATCGTGGTACTTCTTCTTCGGCCGCGCCGAGGTTCTCATGAAGGCCGCCCCCGGAACCGGTATCGTCAGCAGTGTAGTTATCGAGTCCGATGATTTGGACGAGGTCGACTGGGAGTGGCTCGGCGGCAAGGATGCCGAGGTTCAGACCAACTATTTCGGCAAGGGCAACACCACCAGCTACGATCGTGGCGCGTTCCACACCATCGCCGCGACTCAGACCGAGTACCACAACTACACCATCGACTGGACCAAGGAGGCCGTCACCTGGTACATCAACAGCAACCTCGTCCGCACCCTCAACTACGCCGATGCCCTTGGCGGCAAGAACTTCCCCCAGACCCCGGCCCGCCTGAGACTCGGCATCTGGGCCGGTGGCGACCCGGACAACAACGCCGGCACCATCACCTGGGCCGGTGGTGAGACTGATTACACCAAGGCGCCCTTCACCATGACCGTTCAAAAGGTCTCCATCACCAACGCGAACCCCGGTGGCTCCTACACCTACGGCGACATGACTGGTGACTACTCGAGCATCAAGATTGGCGCCGCCACCGACGACAGCACCAACGCCGGTCAGAACGACACCACTTCAGGTAACACAACCTCCGAACCCGCCTCCGGGAGCTCCGACGCGACAGCGACGCCTTCCTCTGGTTTCCCCGTGTCTTCGGGCGCCCCGCTGAGAAACTCCACCACGACAGGAACCACGATCCGTCCGACGGTTGCTCCCTCGGCTACCCAGTCCGGCTCATCCGCCAGCGCTACCGCCTCCACTGGCGCCAGCGCTGCCGCTGGAAAGCTGTTGACCGGCGCAACTGTTGGCACTGGTCTGTTTGGATTTGCTCTCGTCGCGATGGCTGGCCTGTTTTAGAAGAGATATCCCCCCATTTGTTACAATAGTGTGTATGTAGTTCTTCCCACAACAGTTAGATAATACAGGACCAAAAAGTCCTACTTTTCAAACGTTATCCCTGTATCTGGCCCGCGGGATGCGAGAATTCTATGTGATTCCTTGCTTTGATGAGGGGAGGGGGAGGGGGGGGGAGCGTTGTTTTGATCTGGCACCAGCACATACATCAGATGTGATGCGCCGCGGCTCGACTCGTCCCCGAGGATGAACCCCGTGTGCTATGCAGTTGATCCATGAATGGTTTGCGTCTGAGCGCGGGAATATACGCTGAGTTTTCGAGGAGGTATTATTCCGTTAAGTCACGAGGAATGAATCTACGAAGCCATGCATTTCCTTGTTTCCGTCATATTCCCTTTTTGCCCTCTTCACGATGTCATTTTTCGTGATGATGAGAAGGACGTTGGGGGACAGTTGTTACATGCCGCCTCAGCCCTGGAACCACCTTTTCACTCGGGTACCTGCATTCAGCCTTTGCATCGAATACTGATTTGGTTGGTTCATTTGCTTGAAGATCGTCTAGAACTGTTGATACTCACCGCTGCTACCGTTAGAGTCCGATAAGGGGCCCAAACATAAGGGGGCCGTGTCAGGTCCTCGCATTGCACCCTCGCTGTCCCAGACTTCAGGTTCGTCTGATGAGATTTCATGACTCAACAACCTTCTGACTGAGACGGCATTATGCAAAGAGGCGGGCGCAACTGGAAAGCTCTCCTGCCACCTATAAAGCTGGAAAATCTAGGAAATTGAGATATTGCAGAGAAAATTTTCAGCTGCCTAGAAAGGTCTGTAGCGAGATTCTAGTGAGGGAGACTGGCTATCTCGAGACGAGGGTGAACCTCGACAGTTCAGGAATACCCACGTGAGGCTTCGTCCACCCGATCTCAAATCGGGGATCCCCGAGACTTCAAGGGCATTCCCCGTAAATTGCTGTTAATTGACTTCACAGGGTAACAATGACGCTGGATTATATGCCTCAGAGGCTCTCTGAGAGATCTCCCAGTCATCTCGGGACTCTCATCATGATGCTTATTACTGTACTCCAGATCTGGAGGCACGTAGGCTGTAGCAAGTTCATGATGCCAATTCAGCTCAGTCGCCAGAGATTCTTATTGCAAGAAATGTACTAGGTACCTCAGTCTCTGACTATTTTCGGTATCGAGTATACATGCCTATTCAGGTTGGCTGGGCAGAAAACCACCCACAGCCAACGGATTGAGAGTTCGATATCGGAATCGCTACTTACTCCTAAAAGCCCTTACTTGTTACTCCAAATGTTCATATTCCATCCGAGCAATGTCATCGATCTGTGTGCTTTATACTTTTTGGCCCACGGCTGCGCATTTCGGCTTCAGTTGAACTACCTTGTCCCGCTACATCAATCTCACAGCGCGAGAATAATGGGCGCCGTTTTTCTCGTTGAATTCGATTCAATATCAGGGTAAAATCCCCCATTGAAAGCAATTCCAGGGCCGCTGTACCTTCCCATTCACCTGAGCGAGGATCATCCACCGACATTCCCGGATAACTCGCATCTCTTTCAGGACTGGTTGAGGCATATCCACAAATCGTTGCCCGCAGAATGCGCGTGAGGAAACATGGATGACTGGCACTCTGTATCTATGTAATTTTGACGCTCAACCATGTTCATGAGATGAGTTATGCGGGGCAGCGGATAGCTTGGGGGCTCCTGTCTGTGTCACTGTGAGCAGCACGACTCGGTCTTCCCCCGCTACTCTATCAGGATCGCAGAACTTAGACAAGGTAACCTACCCAACGGAGGCCCAAGTATTTGCGAGTCAACCTCCCATGATGATCTACAACTCCAGATCTTCATTCAGCACCAGAACAATTCTAGCTACTCGTAAACAATACTGCATTTGGACTTCAGTTTATTAAAGTTCAGAGCTCAACTCATTCATGCTAACGACCGAATCATGAAGAGCACTTTTCATGTCATCTGAGGATAGGCTCCGACCACATACTGTAGTGATCACGAGATAGGACATCTCATAATGTTATAAATTGTAAGCTGTTTCCGCGTACTTGAATGGTGCTCTCATCATCAAAAAGCTCATCCTCACCAAGTCTCTCCTTCAATAACTTTTATTCTCCTCTTCGGACATTTATTTGCCATCACAACATTCAAAATGCGCGCCACCACTTTCGCCGCTGTTTTCGCCTCCCTTCTCACGGCTGTTGCCGCTGTTCCTCAGGGCTTCAGCTGCAAGGTAAGCACAGAACACCAGCCTCCAAGCCGACGCGAGATCCGCTAGATCGGGTTGCTAACAAGCTATCAAAGTCCGAGGGCTTCTGCACCTACAGCGACCCCAACTGTAACTTCTGCCTTAACATTGACGCTGCCGCCAAGATCAAGGTCTGCCAGGCCATCGACCCCACCTACAAGAGCGCCCCCGGCGACATCACCCGTGGTCCTTCGGGAGTAAGCAATCTCCATCTCGAGCATAGTCGTATTTGGCGTAAAAATTCTAGCTGACTCGCTCGTTACCTTGCAGGCCGACTTTCAGTGCGTCGTTACTTGCTGCCACTAAATGGTGGATGTCGTTTAGAGTTCAACATGCATGGTCTAGCTTATCTAGAGGGCATCTAGCTTAAAGCCTTAGATAGACGCATATGAATGCACAAACGAGCATGTGCTAACTCTTCGGACCCTCGATTGCCCTCTTTCCCTTGAAAACTGATATTCGTTACCAAGCGAGATTTCTGTTTGTCAGAGTTTTCAACAGAATTTCGTTGTGCTGAAAAATCAAGCTTTAGCAACGAAGATCGCGGCGAGTTTTATGGTGGCTGTCCGAGTAAGACGGCGTCTCTACTCCCCGAAGTAGGTAGGCAAGTGGCTAGGGTGTGTGACAGCACCCTAGAGTCTGTTGGTTGCGATGAACGCATGAAAAGGGCTTTTAGCTGTCGAATGTTGATGGCCTGGACAAGTCGGAGACCGATTGTCTAGCTGTAATTGGTCTTACACCCTTGACGTACAGACATAAGTATGGAATGTCTTTGCACATGACATCGGACAACGGATGGCAACGGGGCCCGGGCTGAACAGACGTGGCGCTTATTTAGTAGTAAAACCCACATTTTCCCTAAACGATGTATGGACTGAGCGGCGCTACGGAGGCACAAATGCCGACAAGCTCATGAGAAACTCATTAGACGCATGCCAACAACCACGTCAATGTCGGCACGGCCCTTCTACCAACCTCCGGTGGCCGGTTGCAGGGCGGCGGGAATCACCAAAGCAGTCGGCTCATATAGAAGCTAGCAGGGTAGATATCAAGATGATGAGGGTGCAATTCTTACGACTGTGTTTTCATCCCTAGGCTCGAAATCATTCACATCAGCTTAAAAGCATTCAACTTATTGAAGCTCTGACTTGACTGGAGCTCTCATCACTTACAACCCCCAACTTTCGAAGTCTTTACACGCAATCGCATCATCAAACGAACTCTAATTCAACTTTAAGACCCCTGCCAAGAACCAAACTCAATTCCTCTATAACACAAATCTGCCAAGCCATGTCAACTTCAACACCGGCCACGAGTGGCCCGCAGGTAGACCACTCTGTATCGCCGTCATGTTGTGACCGCTAACACCGCATAGACGCCGAAAGGACCTCCTTATGCACCAGTAACAGCTCTTCTGGGCTTGACGCCGACCGTGAAAGTTGATGTGCCAATCTGCGCCGTCTTGATCGTGTTCTTCCTCAGCGGATTTATCCTCAATCTCACGATCTTTCGCCGAAACAAAGCCCGCGGGCATAAGTTCCTACCTTCGGTGCTTCTCGCCGGCTTCTGCATGGCCCGCAACATGGCGCTGGTCCTACGCATTGTCTGGTCCACCCGCCACGATAACGCCAGCTTAACGATCGCTGCCAATATTTTCGCGGCTGCCGGTGTCATCATCCTCTTCATTGTCAACCTCATTTTCGCACAGCGTTTGGTCAGGTCGATACATCCTTACTTCGGATGGGGTCGCATCCCCTCGATCGCCTTCAAGGCTCTTTATGCCTACGTCATCATTTGTCTTGTCATGACCATTACGATCACCATCATTTCTTTTTACACCCGCAACCCATCTACCTTGAATACCGCGCGCATCATCCAGTTGTTCTCCGGAACATCTCTTGCGACATTGGCCTTCTTGCCGATCCCGATTGTCATCGCGACCGTACTCATCCCCAGCAAATCCGTTCCAGAGCCGTTCGGTAAGGGTTCGCTCAGGACAAAGATCATCCTGGTTCTCTTCACCTCCACCATGCTAGCACTGGGTGCCGGCTTCCGCATCGGCGTTAGCTATACTACGCCCCGGCTTGCGTCGAACCCAGCATGGTACCATCACAAGGCCTGTTACTACGTCTTCAACTATGTTATTGAATTGATCGTGGTCTTTACCTACGCACTCAGCCGTTTCGATAGGAGGTTCCACATTCCCAACGGATCCAGTGCACCGGGTCACTACTCTGCAGGTGTTGAAGACGAGAAGCGTTCGAGCAGCACTAGCAACATCAACGACATGGATACCGAGCGGTCACCAAGTTACAAAGAAAGCTTTCGAATGGAGAACTGCCCATAGAAATCAGATATGACTTATGAGAGGAAGCAAGGAAAATCACGATTTAGAAAGTAGAGAGTTATAGCTCTTCTCACAGCAGGGAAACAAATGAATCTGCAGAGAATGTAAAATATATAATATGTTAAGCTTAAGCCATCATGAACGGTTATGTTATACCTTTCCGTACTAAAGGAACCTCAGTACGAGAACTCGAAAGCAAAGCCGACGTCTGGGTCATTCTGATAGACGGCGACGATAACGATGCCATCTCCATAGTTGTAGTTGGTGTAGCCGAGATCATCAGGTTCGGCGACACGATCAAACCGACCCGGAGCTGTGTTGAACCGGATCGCTTTGATAGGCAGTGATCCAGATTCGGGAAGACCAAAGGCGCTCAGTCCGCCAATCTTGACAAACCAGACGCCAGTGTTCGGACGACATCCAGCCAAGATACGCACGACTCGCTGGTTGGGATCAACGGTAGCGTACGTATCCACAAGCGTGTCCTCAGACATCTCGGTGCGTACACGATAACCCGTCATGCTCTGGGCATAGTAGACGTACACCGGGTACTCCCGAGCAGGCCGATAACTAGTGTCATACATGTCATAATTGGAACCAGTCTTGCCTTTTCCGAGGAGGTATGCCAGATAGTCGTTGAGTTCCTGACCGCCTAGCCAATTGGCCCGGAGACCTGGCACGTTGTGTCGCTCCAGCTGGCCAATGTTCCATATGAGACCGGACGGAACCTGCTGATCCGGGTGACCGTACTCTTGGACGTTCCAGATACCCTGAAAGTCAACGCCAGCAGCATTCAGATACTGACGGTAACTGTTGAGCGAGGTAGTTAAGTCCCCGTTCCCGTAAAGGAAATGAAGACTGATCTGGTCTGGGATGGAATTGTTCGACTTGATGAACTCAGCCCACCGTGAGAAATAGTGTTCGACGCCTTGCGAAAAGTTGGGCAGATGACCGTAGGACGGCCCAATGACCTTGGCATTGGGAAAGTCCCTCCTGTAGAATGGTGAGCTGGAAGAGCTCTCGGCCCGGGGTTGGATGCTCAACTCACATGATCTTATGGTATGCATGACCCCAGTACTCCAGCCATCTGTCTATTCCTCGGTCGAGGAAGTCAACATTGTCAATCTCGTTCCAAAGGTCCCACCAAATGTTGTCGACCATGCCATCTTGTTTCAGCAGCGCAAAAAACGTGTCAAGGAAGTTGTCAAAGTCTGCGTAGCTTCCTCCGTCGCCCGGCATCGGCGTCTCGGCGAAATTCGGATATGAATCAGTCCCCCACATGTCATGGATCATGATTTGGAAATTTCCCCCGTGGCGGCGTGTGACCTGGTATGCAGACTTGAGGTACTCGTAGCGACCCTTGGGTCATCGTCAGCGCAGGCAAAGGGGTTCCACAGGTTAATTTGGTACTTGCCATGAACTCATTTAGTCCTCGAGTCCATCCACGGCGGGGCTCGGCCAACTGCGAGCCGCCAGATCTCATGTTCCAGAACTTGATGTCAGATAGCCAATGGTCAGGGATCTGGTCAGGGTTGCTTGGAATGCCGAGTAAGACACCGGAAGCCATATGTTGCGGATCACCGGTGTTGTCGTTGAGCCAGACGTAGGAAGACCCGGAGAGATCACGCTTCTGAATGATAGAATTGGAAACCTGCTCTGGAGCGCTCAGAACTGCGCCCAGGGCTGGCAGTACCAGGCCCAGTAGGAGGATTAAGGCCTTTCGAGTCATGGTGTCTGTTAGTCCGGCGCGCTGAATGTATTGCAGAGAGGCTTTCGAAAGCCCTGTGATGAACAGCGAGTCCAAGAAGAAGTGGTCAAGGGGCCAAAAAGAGCTTTATGTATCCCTTTTGGAAGCTCACTGATCTCGCGGGCAATATCATAACCTCTCAATTTACTAGCAAAACAGTATCTCAACTACATTCACAAACAGAATCTTGCACATACGAAGACAGTAGGCAACTGAATAGGCGCCTTTCAACATTGATTCTCCCGGGCGGCATCATCGCTTGTCGGGTCCGGATAAAGAATGCCAAGCCCGGTGGGGGTTTGCCCGGTGGGAATCTGCTGTACAAAACCTATTGCCTTGTTCCGGTGTAAGTAATTTTGAACTGAGAGAAAGCGTTATTGGTGTAACTTCTCCGCCGAAAACACTCAATACTACACAAAAAAGCCTGTGTGATGTCCGGGAGAATTACAAACGGCGGGGGCGGGGTACCAAGTCTCAAATGAGGGGTGAAGGTGAAAGTCGGATAATAGAGACTATCGTTTGATCGCAATAGCTTCTTGTCACCTCAGAACGATTGAACAAGATAACTACCCCTACAGTCTCTACCCTGGAAAGCATGACCATGACTATCTTGACCCATGTGCATCCTTACTTCCTCCCACGATGTCTGATTGAGCATCTAATCAATCTAACTGATGGATTAGATTACGTCAAAGTCTAAATTCATGGCTTATCAGACGGGGCGATCGTCGCTCGTACAAATCTGACTGGACGCCAATTCAAACAACCTAGAGTCGCTGAGCGAACCAGATATCTCTTTCCTCTCTAAAGCGGGGCTGGACCAGGTACAGCGCCGAAAGATGCATCCGCGCGGGAACATCGTAGAGCGCATAGTTGAGGAAAAAGAAGTAGGACGACAGTGAATACTATCCTGCAAAATGTATTTAAAGATGATGGCTGACTCCCGCTGGCTAGCTTGAATCTCCTCATCATTAAGTACTCAGAAACACAAAAAGAACCCTAGACCAACAAAAGGCCAACCACGGTATCACCTCAACTATGAAGTTCATCCAAGTCTTTGCGATTTTCGGTAAGTTAGTTGACGACTTATATCGCGGAAGTTCGTTGCCAACTAACATTTTTGGTGCGCAATAGCGTCGATGGCCATCGCGGCCCCCCTCGCTCAAGAAGCACACACCGAAGCAGCAGCTGATCTGGAAGCGCGCCAGGGCTGCCAGTGGGACCCCACCAAGCCTTTGGGCGGTTGCCCTTAAGAGGATGATGATCTCAGCACATACGACAACTCATGGAGTTCCTAAAACGAGTCAAGTCAGACGAAGTCATGTCCTGGTGCTGCCATAGTCTTCACTTTATGCATTCTATCTTGGCCATCTTCCTCTGAAGGCCATGATTAAATATCATATACATATCAAACCCTCAAACGAGTCGCTCACAACCCCTCAATCAACTTGGGCAAGATGACATTGTTGTACTCCCACACCACAGTCGAGAAGCCTGCAGAGAAGGCTGCTCCCGTGTACCATGTGGATCGACGGCCTTGAAGAGCTGTCTGCTTCTGAATGAACCCAGCACGAAGCTTCTCGCCAGTGACGCGAGGATGCATTTTCCCATGGTTCGCAAAGGCGACAAAGCTGACTGTGCCGTTAGAAGCAGGGACGGTCCCGGCCTCGATTAAGTTGTTAATGGACTCGGCAATGACAGCCTTCATACTCTCTGAGGTATCCTCATCTGTGCCGACAGCCGTGAATTGGAACAAGTCCTTGGTACCGCCAATGTAGTCGATACGGCCCACCTGAGAGGGGGTAGGAAAGACGGTGTAGTTGGTCGAACCAGGTGCGGGCGACCTGTTAGAGTAGGCGGTGCTGATTTGCAACGACGGGTGGCGGAGGATGCCGGCGTAGACGGTGGTGAACTCGATCTTGTCGAAGACTTCTGTCTCGGTCTCGTCTGGGCGGAAAGGCGCGAGACTCTCCGGGGTCGGCTCGAAAGCAATGAGGAGGCGCTTAGCGTCGATGCAGGTCAAGGTGCCATCAGCGCCAGCAACCTTCACGGAGATACCCTGGTCGCTACGTTGAGACGTAGAGACGATGGTGCTGGAGTAGAGAACATCATCGCCGAGAAACTTGGCCACGCTCTCGTACAGCTCGTAGAGGCGTCCCGAGGCAGGGACTGCAGCGGCGGCGGTTCCAAGCAGAGCTCGTACCATGGGAACTCCGGAGGCCTGCATGACGAACAAGGTCGGCACATCCATGGTTTCGCCAAGGCCCTGTGCCGTGGAGTCCCAAATCTGGGGCACGGCGGCGGCGATATCATACTTTTCGACGAACTGGCGGAAGGGCATAACCAGGTCCTCGGGAATGGCGTCCGCATCAGGGAAGTTCTCGAACCCTGGGAGGATGATGTCCTCATACTTCTCGAGAACGTCGAGGTACCTCTGCAGCGCGGGATACATGGCGTCTGAAGAAGGCGCGGTCCAGCCTGTCACCGGCGAGCCCGTCTTGAAGTCAACGTATCTGTAGTCGAGAGTGGTGAACTGCATTGACCCGCTGGTTGAGACGTTCATACGCTTCGGGAAGTCAAATGTGTCCTTGTATTCCATCCACGCCTGTACACCGACGTTGATGGACTTATTCGAAGCTGAGTCATAGTAGAAGGCCGTGTGGCCACCCTTGAGGAGGACGTCAGTCACGATACGTAGTTGTTTCGAGGAGAGGCATCTGAAGAAGAAATGGTGACGGAAGAGGACGTAACTCACAAGTTGACTGGCCTTTTCTACGACGATGACACTCTGGCCATGGTCCCTCAACCAAACAGCAGCGTGAGAGCCGGCAGCACCACCACCAACGACGATTACATCCCGAGAGATGGTATGGTTGCAACAACTCAACCCAGCCACGCCCTGTGCCACAAACGTGGCGACGAGACCTGCACCTGCACGCATCTTGCTAGAACGCATGTTGACCAAGAAAGAGTGGTTGGTTCGGAGAGCGCACACTAACACGTGATCTTTAGGAATGCGGCAGTGCTTCTGGCGTGGTAAGGTGACTGGTAACGAAACGCACGTCTACGGCGAGTCTGCAGAATCACGGGAGATTTTAAATCGAATCATCCAATGCCCGCAGAGTAGCACAACATCAACTCCCGATTACTGAAGACTGAGTCTGCATAGACAACGTACTCAATTTTCCTCAACAAATAGGCATATCTCGGTTGGTGGAATCGATCATCTTGGCCGCCCGCCATCCTCGCCGACATGGAGTCTTCACCCCGCATTGGACCAACGGCCGCTGCATGCCGGAGATTGCAATGGGACTGATGGATCCTAGACAGGCACGACGGGTAAACCAAATCGTGGAACTTTGTTGGATGTCACGTCGACTTTATCGAACCAACACGTCCAACAGCGAGAAAATACAAGCATCTTCCAAAGATGGTGTGATAATATCATGCCCTGAGGGGTTTTGAGCCAGGATGCTAGGACACAATGCTCCGCAAAGGGGACCGGGGCTCCGGGCCCGGCCGTCCGAATAAGTTGAGCCATCAACCAACAAGCCGGGTGGATAGTGGCCGGGGTTCGAATGCAGGGGCGCGGCACAAACAGCATCCACAAGTCCCACACGGGCCGATGGCCTCGATCACCCGAGCGGTCAAGGCCAAGGATGCAGGCAAATTCTGCGTTGTCTTGCATGATTTCGAGTTGACGTTTACAGATGAAGAACGAGGGCCCGTTGTGGCGTTGTCGGCACACTTCCGAATCACCGCAGCTTTGTCCAGAAAAGTTTATGGAAGGATTAGTCCGAAATTTCAATATTGATCCGCGGTTTGTTTGCTTCTTTTATTGAGGGATCGTGCTCCACGATGAATAACACGCTGATATACATTCGTATCTTTGGTCATATGGTTCCAACGAACTGTACGGCAGTGCACGCGGCCCGTAGCCAGATCGGACTGGGCCGGATCGTCTATTCTGGCACGGACGGACTTTGATGAGGGCCAGATGATCGTGCTATGCCATGGAATTTGTCAAGACCTGCTATCCAACACGCTCATCGGGTCACCGTTCAACCCATGCTCTTGGCAAATGAAGACCATGTAGCAATGTGCTGCCCGGAAATCCCGGTATCTCCAATCCGCTCTACCTGTGCCACACCAACGCAGGTTCTGTAAGATTGCGCGTTGAAAGACCGTCACCAACAAGGTTGTGAATCCCTCGGAGAATGGAACTCACGAATCGAGCGATAGTCTAGCAAACAATACGACGTTGTCCAATAGTAGCATGTGCTGGTACTCGTTCTTGTTACTGCAAGCTGGGATGCTACTAACTAATGGCTAACTACTAGTGAAGCTCGAGTTGTGACAAGCTGCAAGGTGCAAATTTTCTCTTCTGCTCCGAGCCTAAAACCAAGAGCGTCGAAGAAGGGCGCATGAGGCCAAGGTAGGCAACTCGTGGGGCTAAGCCGAGGCGAAGAGCGGACGAGTTCCCTGACATTTGTAGCCGTAAAAGTATGCACCAGAGTCTTGATTCTCTGTGTAGGACTCTCAGTGATAATGAGCCCCGAGGAAAGAGGGTAGTCTTGTCCACAAGTCTCCGTCGTCATCCCCATCGCTGCTGCTCTCTTTCTACGCTGTCCAGATTCACAATCATGAAGTGAAGATGGATGATCTTTCTCCTGAGTACGTCAATGCCAGCAATGCGGGGCGGATCGTCGGCTTGGTTGGCTTTTTTCACCTCGTCGCTCTGGCATTCGTCTCACTGCGTGTTTATGCTCGCGTGGTAATTCTCAGGGCCTTTGGAACCGAAGATGCCCTTATAGTGGCTGCCGCCGTGAGTCCGTACTCTCACGCCAGTTTTACGATTTTCGAAGATTGAAAGTAGGTGATTATTAACTTCATCACGATGTAGATCCTCGCCCTTGTCTCTTGGGTCTGCCTGGTCCTTCAAATACCTTACGGTCTCGGTCGTCATGGCTCGACAATCCCGA